ATAGGGTAAACCCAAGTGTATTTAGAGTAATCATCAATCAAGGTAATGAAGTACTTATATCCAGCCTCAGTAGGTAGAGTAACAGGGCCCCAAACATCAGAATAAACAATATGAAATGGAAATTCAGATCTTTTATTTCTCAAAGGAAAAGAATTACAATGTTTACTCAATTGACATGTCTGACACTGTAACTGACTCATTGACAAGGACTCAAACAATTTTGGGAACATAACTTTTAATGACTCAAAAGAAAGATGACCAAGACGACTATGCCATAAATAGGCTTGACTCTCACTGGACAAACTCATGGCTCTGTAACCACAAGACCAACTTTATTCTCCAACACGTAGAGACCATCCGCCATGCTTCCTCTACCAATCGTCTTCCCCGAGGCCAAATCCTGAAACACACATGAAGACGGAAAGAAAGTGATTGAATAGTTCAAGGAGTGAGTTATACTACTAATAGACAACAAATTTATAGGTAATTTCGGAACATGTAGTACATTAGAAAGGGTAAGGCCGAGTGGGAGAGGTATGGTACCTTGGCCAGCTATGGTAGAGAAAGAACCATCAGCTAGTCTCACCTTATCTCTTCCAGAGAGAAGGTTATATGTTTGAAATAAATTTGACTTACCGGTCATGTGGTTTGAGGCTCCGGAGTCAATAGTCCAAGGAGAATCAATGGTATGAGATGACACATGGAAGGCAGTGGCAACGTTACCTGATGTAGACGCGAAAGAGGTAGAGGGAGTAGGACCAGAATCCATCTGGCGGAGAGTCCTACCATACAATTCCAAATGGTCAAGAAAGGAGTTGATAATTTCTTCCTTAGGGTCAGAACTGGGATGCCTCTCCTGAGTTACCAATGGGCTAGTCTCTGGAGATGCCATATTAGCTGAGTTATACTTTTTCTGATTCTGCTGATTTGGTTTCTTGCCTTGATTAGGTGTTGACTTCTTACCAAAATCCTGTGCCCATTTAGGTTTTCCATGGAGATCCCAACATGTATCTCTGGTGTGTCTTGTCTTCTGGCAGTGAGTGCACCAAAGTTTACTCTTATCATCTGTTCTCTTCTAAGAGACCTTTCTTAAAAGCACCTCCGACATTTGTATCTGAATTTCCCTGGACATATAGGGCAACTGGCTCTCCCTCTACACAATTCATCACACTTCTTCTACTCTCTTCTGACTGCATTAAGGCATACACCTCCTGAACTGATGGCAAGTCTTTACTACCCAAGATCTGCACCCTGATGGACTCATATGAAGGATTCAGCCCTAGGAGGAAGGCAAAGAC